AGGAACCCTCTGCCTGGACACCACTAGACACGGATGAGAAAATAGAAATGAATAGGAAGAAAATAATGGGAGGCACTAGGCATTGAACACTTGCTTGGTACTAGGCACTGTGCCAAACATTTCACATCTACTCCTCCCAAGAGCCATTAGAATCACCCCATCTTACACACAAAGGACCCAAGGCTTAGAGCGGTTCCAGAATTTGTCCATAGTTGTACAACGATGTGTGATAAAGTCAGGATTCAAACTGTGAGCTCTCAGCCCCTGTGTTCTACTGCCCTCAAAGAACTCAACCAACATCATCGGAGCTGAGCAGGTATCCCACCTGGCAGAGGGGTGAGGAAAGCTCCAAGAGAGAATGGGAGGGCTGCAGGCCACACTCTCCATCACATTGATACTGCTCAGAACCCGGGCCTCTGTCCACTGTCTTTATGCACTGTTGGAAATGAGTGGCATAGAATTCAGGATGGGGAATGTACCAGTCCGGAGGATTGCTAATGAGCTGGTATCTGCTTAGGTTAACAGCCTCAGCTGATGTTCTGCCCTGATATCAATCTTCTGGAGACATTCTGCATTTCCACCTCCACCGTTTGAATTCCATTTGCTCAGGGACCCCAGCAGGACATCTGGCTGCGTGGGGCCATGTTTGCATTGCTGTAGTAAAGATGTCAGCACGCTTATTCTTATGCCTTCTTGGGTTTTCTGAAATCTCTGCAGTTAGGCTATTGACTTCATCTTTATCCCTAGACATATATTGATTTTATTTGTACTACTGGTGAATTCTGAATTACTTTCATGCCAACTAGAGTTATGTTAGCAATATGCAAGCTGGAAAGGGCAGGTCTCTTTGTCCTGCTGGGAGACCAGTTGCCCAACAAACTATTATAGCAAAAAAAAAACCTGAAAATAAGAACCGTCAGCTCTGAGGCTGCTTGCTGCTTTTCAACCAGAGATCCTGCTGGGACATGGGCAGGCAGGGCTTCTCATCAGAGGAATGTCCTTACTGAGGCATTCCTCTGAGGGCATGGCTTTGGCTTGCTGGCCTAGGGAAGTAGTCTAGCATGGCCTCTTGGGAGGGTCACTATGTGGCTAGCCTCCCTAAAGGCATGTATGCCCTCCCACCATTTCTTAGCATGGCCGGTGATTGTGGAGGGAAAGAATTCAGATCTCAGTAGGATCCATCTGTGGCTGAGTGGGGAACAGACTGAAGGGGACAGGGGTGGAAGCAGGGGGACCAGCGAGGACACTGCTTAACAGTGCTACTCGAGTAGGAGGCAGCTTCATCTAAGAGGTGGGGATGGAGGTGATGAGAGGAGGGCAGGGCCTGGGTATCATTTGAAGGTAGATTTGTTGTCTCTAGCTGTAGGATGTGACTGAAAGAAGCATGAGATAAATAAAGGACACCCATCAGTACGTATTTACAAATTGCGATATGAGCTGTTGAGGAAAAGACCAGGGTACTATAAAGAGAACAAGAGGAAGTCTTTAGGGAGGGGATTCTCTGAGGAAAGGACAGTTGAGTTGCTGGGGCCTGAGGGTGGGGAGGAATCAAACAGGAAAAGTGGGTGGGTGGAGTGGCAGTGGGGTAACACAGGCAAAGTCTGAGGCAGGATCATACTGGGACAAGCATGGCGGAACACGGCTGACAAAGAAGGGTGGGGATCTGCAGGACAAAGGCGGGGCAGAATGTGGGTTGGAGGTCAAGGCAATCCAGCCCTGGCCTGTAGCTGTGTAGACCACACTTCTGGGGGTCCTTTGTGGTTCCTCCAGCCTCCCCGCCCTTTAGCAACAAAGCTGCTAGATTATCTACCAGCTGTCTCTCCCAACATCATGATTTATGAGACCCAAACTGAGAGCGGGACTTGCCCATACTCAGGCCCAGACCACTGACATTGTGGCATCACGGAGTTTTCCACCGTAGAACAGCTGCTTACCTCCTATGCCAACTCTCAACATTGGAGATGGTTCCTTGCCGTTTGGCAGCAAAGCCTGCAGGTGTCAGTGTGGAAATGGCTCTGGAAGCCGGTGTTCTGTAGGGAAACATTGGAAAAATGCCACCCAGGTTGTCAGGGGTGGCTGCAAGATGACCCACCAGGCCACTGTTATCTCGGGCTCGCTCTGGACGGGAAGAAATCGATTCTCACCCACTGGCCGGGCTCCTGAGAAGCAGCCCTCTATTAGTGAACGAGGTGAGTGCAGCCAGCCTGGATCTCCTTCCCAGCCAATCCCCTGCACCACCAGCCACGGAAATCTCCACTGTCTGCTTCTTGCTAAAAAGCCACGAGGATGGAATGGAATGGGATGCCTTCCTCTGTCCAACTCCACCCCCTGGGAGCAGGAGTCTCCTTTGTCGATGTTCCCCATGAACTGCAGGATTGATTGCAGACCAGAGTCCAAGATCATAGTGCAATGGGGTGGAACATTCTGCCCTGGATTCAGAAGTACTTGAATATAAAAATGCTTTGTCTTGACATATTTTTTGGTCTTATCATGGGGAATATATTGTCCCTATAATTAGACTAAGGTCATAGCACAAAACTCACAAAGCCATTGTTTCATTTGATTCTAAGGAAAGCAGGAGATGCATCGTGTGTAAACAGCCCCTATATCTATTCTGGAGGCCCACTGAGTTCCCGTTTCCTCCATCAGTCCCCGTTCCCTCCTTCATTGTCTGTGGTGTTGAGCTGTCCAAGGAAGAAGGAGAAACGCCTGTTTAGGAATGCCAAATGAGTCAGGAATATCTGGTTAGAACCACAGTCCTACACGCGGACACTGAGTATCGGCACCAGAATAGCAACTTTCCCCGGGTGAAAACGCTCTTCCACTGTTTCAAGTACCTCAGAGCAGTGAGTCACTTGTGTCTGGGTCCTTTCAGATGTTATTGTGAAGTTCCTGATAAAATAAAACTAATCTCTCTGTGTCTCTTTCTGATAATGGCCTCCTTTTGTAAATCAGAAGGGCAGAACAGAGTGGTACCACCCATATTCTCATTTCAACCGTGGACCTCCTAATTCTTCTTTTGAATTTATAGACAGACCGGGAAAATTTGTCACCTTGGAATCATCCCCGGGGCAGGTACCTGGGGATGGGCTGGTCCTGCAGTTGAGAGGGGTCTTGATGGAACCCGTGTGGTCGAGTCCTACATCTTTCTCATGTTTCTTAAAATTCCTCCCACCCTCTGTCAGAAGGGGAGGCCAATTTGTATAGCATCACATGCAGTTCAGGTTGTATCTTAATAGAGCTTCAGTGTTCCCAATGGTTCCCAAGTTCACATACACTTCCCACTGCGCACTGCAAATAGAGGTGGAGGGCATCCTTATTAAGTACTCTCTGCCTTGAGGCGGAAAAGTCGAACCCATCTTCCCCCCATATGTTAATGTGCCTTTGCCCATTTCATGAGAGCTGTACTCAAGCATGAGGTTTAATCCCTATGCCAACAAGGTGTCTTTTTCAGAGAAGAGCATTGCCCAACAGCTTAGCGTCTGGTGAGCACACTCAGGCTTTCATTTGTTCATGTAACAAAAGGGTTGAGTGCAGACCCTGTGCCAAGTGCTGTGTTAGAGCTAGGCATTCAGAGATGGTTGACGGGACCTCATCTGCTAATGCAATGCACCTCCAATAGAGCCCGGGAAATGGGACTCACGCAGTGATTGTGGAATGCAGGGATGTTGCTGCCCAAAGAGGAAGTAGGGATGATTCTCCTAAGCTTTCTCTGCTACTGAAGAGAACAATGCAAATTCTTACTCTTTCCTCCAAGAGCTGAGAAGCAGTCTTGCCAGTGCTTTGATGACATAGTCAAGCACCTGAATGCCTTCCTTATCTCCTATGCCATCTTCTTGGTCCTCCCAAAGGTGCTGATTTGAGTGATATTCTGGCAACTGCTCCAGAGCTCAAAGTCACCCTCCTTAGTTGGGTCTGCTGCATGGGGGGTGTGGGGTATGTGCACCCTCTCATTCAGAACATATCTAAAACAAGAGACATTACCCTGGAGCTCAAGGCTGGGGCTTGGGCAGTTCAGGCGGTCCTGGGGCCCTGGCCCTTCATAGCTGACATCTGTCCATCACTGTCAGGTCTCTGCTCAAAATGCAGAACCGGTGGTGGGATTCCTCCACCCACTCTCGACTTCTCTGTTCTCTTTAGGGCCTCTTGGGTGACAGTGGGGACACTCTCAGGTGATCCATTTATCTTCCCTTCTCTGCTGAGCCTTCTTACTTTATGCCATTGTCAGGGGACTCTGACACCCCCTTGTGAGAGTAACCAAGGACCTGGCTGTCTCCAGAGTCTTTGTGTGACACTAGTCTAGTTTATAAAAACTCCTTTGGTAGCTCACATGTTATCAACCAGGTCTTCTTCAGTCTCATAGACCACTGTGTGTTTCATGTGAAACCAGATTCTGATGAGTATTGAGAATTGCACTATTTCTTTTTATGGCTCAACTCTTGATCCGCGTCCGCGTGCAAATGCGCGCGCACACACACACAGTTCTTTTTACTGTGCATTTGAAAGTGACAATCAATCATCCCCACAGCGTGCTACTTAAATAGTTTCTCTCCAGAGGACAATATTCTCCCTTTTTGCGTGGGTACACATTTCTTGGAAAATCTACAGATAAGAAAAACATCAGTACATAATTTAGCTCCTTTATTATGTCAACAGTCCTGAAGCATAGTTTTCCCCAGAAGTTAACTTTTGCATCCAGAATTAGAACCAGCCTGGCAGGTTCCTGCGATTTGATTCTTGGTTAACTATATAAAGAGTTGTTTCCTTCTCCAATAAGCAAGGGCAATTTTTTGCTACTTGGCAACCTTCCTGCTTAGGGTAAGTACAGCCACTCATGTATGGACAGATACTAATTCCTCACCCTCACAATCCTTCTCTCTCCCCATCCCACCTCCCTCTCCAAGACTTAGTTACAATGTGTAACTTAGTTACAACGTGTGTTTCTCTGTCACCCTTCTGCCCCTGAGAGAAGTGACGTGACCGGTTTGCTTGTTATCTAGAAAGCCAAGCTCGGCCCCGCTGGGAACAAAGTAATCAGTCCTTCAGAAGACAGGAAACCTTCCAACAGCCTCGACCGAGTGAAACTCACTGACTTCAATTTCCTCATGGTCCTGGGGAAAGGGAGTTTTGGAAAGGTAAGACGCTATTTGTCTAAGGACGGAGGGGAGTGGGCTATAACGGAGAATGGTGGGGTCCATTTTGTTCTCTCTGAGGGTTCCAGAACATCCATTTAGATTTCCCTGCTATTTGTACGTGTTTCTCTGATGTTTCCTACTTCACTTCATTAAAAACAAGAATATCCAAAATGGAGCCCTGGTGGTGCAGTGGTTAAGAGCTTGGCTGCTAACCAAAAGGTCGGCAGTTCAAATCCACCAGTCTCTCCTTGGACACCCTATGGAGCAGTTCTGCTCTGCCCTATAGGGTCACTATGAGTCTGAATTGACTTGACAGCAACGGGTTTGGGTTTTGTTTTTTTTGTTTTTAATAGGGTTGCTATGAGTTGGAATCGACTCAGTGGCAACAGGTATACCCAGAATGTTACAGCAAGCTCACAGTTTTCATCATCTTCACAGTGTTCACAGCAGAGTGGGTGTTCTAAAATACTGCTTGAATGAATAGTTTTCACGACTAAAAATTAAATGTTTGCTTATAGTAAGCAAATGTAATGATTAAAGATACTGAGCTGGAGTCTTCAGTGATCAGCTTATGTGTCTGCGTTTGATGTCTCTGGCCCTGAATCTCAGGAGAAATCCAGGAACTGATTTCCAGTTCTATCTTTTGCTTTGTCTTGGTTACATTTTACTCAAAGGATGCTCTAGAAAATTTTGCTTAATTTCGAGACTAATTCTGGCACACAATGTTGGGGATTCTGATTACCAGCCAAAATAGCACCATCATGTGGCAATAGCCTGCACAGTGTGCTAATCTTGACAACATAGAAATTACACAACGCTGGGGGAATTTCTGGTGGCTTAGTGATTAGCACTTGGCTGCTAACCAGAAGGTTGACAGTTCAAACCCACCAGCTGCTCCATGGGAGAAAGATGTGGTAGTGTGCTCCCCTAAAGATTATAGCCTTGGAAACCCTATGATGTAGTTCTACTCTGCCTATAGGGTCAGTATGAGTTAGAATCAACTCCATGGCAATGGGTTTGGTTTTTTTTTTTAGGGGTCAAGGCATGGAAAATTTAGTTGGTGGTGATGTGCAACATTTCACAATGCCCGCATAAAGTAAAACCTTGTGAATATTTTTACACCACACATCTACAAATTCACTGCAATGTCACCTGACCCCGTTCCTCCCCATCCCATCCCACCTTCACGCCTAGGACCAGATGTATGTTCCGAAGCTTTCAGGTTGTTCTTGGTCTGTCCTCAGGTGATGCTTGCTGACAGGAAAGGCACAGAAGAGCTGTACGCTATCAAGATCCTCAAGAAGGACGTGGTGATCCAGGATGACGACGTGGAGTGCACCATGGTAGAGAAGAGAGTTCTGGCCCTCCTTGACAAACCTCCATTCCTGACACAGCTCCACTCCTGCTTCCAGACAGTGGTGAGGACTCTGGGGCTATGCTCTGGGGCACAGCACACAGCAGGCTGTCCAGGGTTCTATCTGAACCCAAGCACTCTGGATATCTGAATTAGCTTGTTCCTGTAGAGAAAGTTGGAGAAAGGCTTAGTGCAGTGACCACTCAGCCCCATTTTCTTCTCTGCCAAGCAAAGGTGACAGGGACAACCTATGACTCCTCTGTCACTGATAGATTTGGAGTGTGCCCTCTCTGCGATGTCTCCTAATTAGAGGCTTGATGTTAATTCAGTTTAATTGAGCAAACATTTATACTCAAGGTTTCCTCTGTCCAGGCACTGTACTAAGACTTAGAGATACAAAAGTAATAGAACAATAAAATAAAGAAAGACGCTATCCTTTTTAAGATATGGCTTACTAGCCAGTACCTATCAGTATTAGAAGAGATACAACCAGAATGCTCCTTAAAAAGCAAGGATGGCGAGACTTCAGCTCAGTTACTTTGGACATGCCATCAGGAAAGACCAGCCTCTAGAAAAGGACATCATGGTTCATAAAATAAAGGATTAGTGAAAATTAGGAAAACCCTCAGTGAGATGGATTGACACAATAGCCTCAACAATAAAAGCTAAAACCAAACCCGTTGCCATCAAGTTGATTCCAACTCATAGCAACCCTATAGGACAGAGTAGAAGTGCCCCATAGGGTTTTCAAGGAGCAGCTGGTGGATTTGAACTGCCAACCTTTTGCTTAGCAGCTGAGCTCTTAACCACCAGGGCCTCAGCAGCATTCATAGCTTTTTAAGATCACCGGTCCAGCCACCAAACATTGCATTGGAGAGTTGGGAGATTTGATTTTGTAAAAGTGAGTGTGTTTTGTTTAATGGCCCATCACAGGGATTGGCAAACTGTGGCCTATGGCCTATTTTGTGTGAGCTAAGAAAGGTTGAAAAAATCCACAGAAGAAGAATATTTCCCAACACATGAAAATTAGATGAGATTCAAATTTCAGTGTCCATAGTTCAGTTTTATTGGCACACAGCCATGCTCATTCATTCGCCTGTCATCTCTGGCTACTTGTACACTACAAACACAGAGTGGCATAGTTGCAAGAGACCATACACACGGCCTGCGAAACCTAAAATATTTACTAGCTGGCCTTTTACAGAAAAAGTTTGTTGACCCGTGTCATATAGTAAAACTAAACAGCAGACCCCCCCAAAAAAAAAAAATCCCAAAGCACTGATCCATCAGTTGTGGGAGAGGGACAAAGCCTTTGGCATGGTGCTTACAGGTGGTCTACAAGAAATACAGACTTTTGGATGACATCAAAGTGCAGCATTCCCAAAGACATACTTCCAGCCCTCAGAGGCTGCCCTTTCTAAAATGTGGCTCAATAATCAGTAGCTATAATTATTACTAAGGAGCCGTGGTGGTTTAGTGGTGGAATTCTCGCTTTCCATGCGAGAGACGTGGGTTCAATTCCCAGCCAAAGCACCTCATGCACAGCCACCACCCTTCTGTCACTGGAGGCTTGCGTGTTGCTATAATGATGAACAGGTGTCAGCGGAGCTTCCAAACTAAGACAGACTAGGAAGAAACACCCTGGCAATCTACTTCTGAAAATCAGCCAGTGAAAACCCTATGGATCACAACAGTCTAATCGCAGCCAATCATGGGGATGACACAGGACTAGGCAGCATTTCATTCTGTGTGCTTGGGGTCGCCATGAGTGAGGACCAACTTGACGGCACCTAACAACAGCATAATTGTTACTGTTTTGATTATTATTATTTCTCAACTTTCCATTGGTCAGAAATTAGCTTTCTATTTTATGTTTCTTTCTCAAGTCTCCTGGGAGATGCCCCTTAATGCTTTTGGAGGCAGCGCAGCCACACACAGACTCGGGGCGTGGAGCTGCAGAGCCGGGTGCCAGCCACTGGGTGTCAGCCTAGAGCTGGCAGCTTGCTCAGCCCCCTCTTCCCAGCAGCTCCCACGGACTCTGATTCCAGTACCACCAGGGGGCAAAGAGCAATATGCTAGGAAGAAAGAACCACATCTCTGAATCCTAGCCTAGACCCTGTAGCCCTGATTACACGGCTTAAGCTCCGAAAGCTACAAAGCATAGAAATGAAGATGAAATTAAAGTTCATAACAGGAAAGCTAGAGATTGACGCTCCCAGAGCTGTTTCATGGCTATTAACACCAGCTTCATCATTTTTTTTCCTTCCCTCTGCAACACTTTCATGTTTAATAACCTCTGTGAAATGGTGTTTTCTAGAAGAGAGCAGAGGTCAGCTTCTACCTTGGTGTGCTGTGCTGTTATTTCACTGCTAAACCTCCTAAATTGCCTCATCAGTTCAAACATAATATTCTCATAAATATTCACGTTTATTCGGTTCTATGATGTATACCCTCCGTGGGGCCGACACTTAGCGTGCCAATGATAAAGAAAAAGGAAAAGCAATATTTGAGCATTTTATGGATGCAAAAGAACATTGGATTCGCCTCTCCATTTCTAGTCATCTTATACCCCGCGAGCCGCCCCAGTAAATATCACTGATCATGTATAATTCATAGTCCGGCCTAACTCGTGAGTTGTAACTTGTTTTCAGAAGCATCCAGTCCAACACTTTACTGTGGCCTGCCTTCCAGATGTTGCAAATGTGCTTTTAAACATTTGGGCCATCCAGAAACACAAGTCAAAAATAAGTAATTAGCCGATGGGGATTTCTCCTGCTGTGCCTAGCTTAGAAATGTGTTGCGTGTGCAGCAGAGAAGGGAAGAGTCCTCTAGGCCGTAACTGCCATAATAGGAAGCATATGTAACCAGAAGGGGGCAGGCTCATTGACAGGGAGCCATTATTAAAGACTTATGCAATGGTTTGCTACTTCCCAAGGCCTTGCAGTAGGGTTTATTACTTATTCTTTATTTGGGAAAAAAAAATGTTAAAGGGCTCCAAACTGAGCAGATCTGCCAGTGCAGCCCAACTGTTACTAATGAGAAAGAAAAGCATAGTCTGTAAGGAGTGAAGGAAGCCACTCTGCTGAGGAGCCTGCTCACATATCGAACCTTCATCTCCAGGATCGACTGTACTTCGTCATGGAATATGTCAACGGTGGGGACCTCATGTACCACATTCAGCAAGTCGGAAAATTTAAGGAGCCACAAGCAGTGTGAGTATTTTTTTTTTTTTTTAGTCTCTTGATTTAGGCAACACAGGACTCCCAACTGGGGGCTTCTGCCTGGGGAAATGTGACAGGGGGGCTAGAAGGGTGCCATCTGCTGTTGTTGTTAGGTGCCGTCGAGTCAGTTCCCGACTCATAGCGATCCTGTGTACTGCAGAACAAAACACTGCCTGGTCCTGCGCCATGCTTACAATCGTTACGCGTGAGCCCGTTGTTGCATCTACTGGGTCAATCCATCTCCTTGAGGGTCTCCCTCTTTTTCACTGACCCTCTACTTTGCCAAGCATGATGTTCTTCTCCAGGGACTGATCCCTCCTGACAACATGTCCAAAGTATGTAAGACATAGTCTCACCATCCTTGCTTCTAAGGAACATTCTGCTTGTACTTCTTCCAAGACAGATTTGTTCGTTCTTTTGGCAGTCCATGGTTTATTCAGTATTCTTCAGCAACACCACAATTCAAAGGCATTAATTTTTTTTTGATCTCCCTTATTCGTTGTCCAGCTTTTGCATGATACAATACAATTGAAAATACCATGGCTTGGGTCAGGCGCGCCTTAGTCTTCAAGGTAACATCTTTGCTTTTCAACACTTTAAAGAGGTCTTTTGAAGCAGATTTGCCCAATGCAATGTGTCTTTTGATTTCTTGACTACTGCTTCCATGGGTGTTGATTGTGGATCCAAGTAAAATGAAATCCTTGACAGCTTCAGTCTTTTCTCTGTTTATCGTGATGTTGCTTATTGGGCCAATTGTGAGGATTTTTGTTTTCTTTACGTTGAAGTGTAATCCACACTGAAGGCTGTAGCTTTGATCTTCGTCAGTAAGTGCTTCAAGTCCTCTTCACTTTCAACACTATTGCAACTCAAGGCTTGAATTTTTTCTTCAGTTCTTTCGGCTTAAGAAATGCCAAGTGTGTTCTTCCGTTTTGGTCTTCTATCTCCAGCTCTTTGCACATGTCATTATAATACTTTATTTTGTCTAATGAGCTGCCCTGTGAAACTTCTGTTCAGCTCTTTTACTTTATCGTTTCTTCCTTTCTCTTTAGCTACTCAACATTCAAGAGCAAGTTTCAGAGTCTCTTCTGACATCCATTTTGGTCTTTTCTTTCTTTCCTGTCTTCTTAAGGACCTCTTGCTTTCTTCATGTATGATGTTCTTGATGTCATTCCACAACTGGTCTGGTCTTCGGAGCTCATCAAATCTATTCTTGAGATGATCTCTAAATTCAGGTGGATTATACTCAAGGTTGTACTTTGGCTTTTGTGGACTTGTTCTAATTTTCTTCAGTTTCAGTTTGAACTTGCATATGAGCAATTGATGGTCTGTTCTTCAGTCCACCCCTGGCCTTGTTCTGACTGACGATATTGAACTTTTCCGTCATCTCTTTCCACATATGTCATTGATTTGATTCCTGTGTATTCCATCTGGCGAGGTCCATGTTATAGTCAGTGTTTATGATGGTGAAAAAGGGTATTTGCAGTGAAGAAGTCATTGGTGTTGCAGAATTCTAGCATGCGATCTCCGGCATCGTTTCTATCACCAAGGCCTTGTTTTCCAACTACCGATCCTTCTTTGTTTCCAACTTTCACATTCCAATCATTGTAATTATCAGTGCATCCTGATTGCATGTTTGATCAATTTTAGACTGCAGAAGCTGGTAAAAATCTTCAATTTCTTCACCTTTGGCCTTAGTGGTTGATGCGTAAATTTGAATAATAGTTTGAAAAATGTTCCGCCGCTATACATAAGGTTTTCACTGGCTAATTCTTTTCAGAAGTAGATGTCCGGCCCCTTCTTCCTAGTCTGTCTTAGTCTGGAAGCTCAGCTGAAACCTGTCTGTCTTGGGTGACCCTGTTGTATCTGAATACCAGTGGCATAGCTTCCAGCATCACAACAACACACAAGCCCCCGCAGTATGACAAACAGACAGACACATAGGGGGATGTGATCGTAGTAACTGCTTTTATATTTCAGTGAATCATTGGAAAGGATAAACTCAGGTATGAATTGTGTTGTGTGTCTTATTTATCCCAGCACTTGGGAGGAGTAAGTAAACCAGCTAAAGGGTTCATCACACGCTGCACTTTGTCCCCCAGGCAGAAATTGTATTTTCAAACACCAATGTGTTCTGTCTATAAATAGACAGAATAGTCTTCTGTAGTCTTCACACAGAACAGTCTGATATAGACATAGTCTAGACATAGACATAGACTACTAGACTATTAGTCTAGTGTCTACTTTTTAGAAGATTGTATTAGAAATTTCTTTGTGAACAGTAAATTACTTGTCCACCTGCCCCAGACAAGATGTATGTGTTTATGGGCCTATATGACAAGTTTTATCAGCTGTGTCTTTCCTTGGGGAAGCTGGAGTAATGAAATGGAGGAGAGGAGGGTGAAGGGTTGGAAGAACAAGTGTAAGATGATGCTCATCTCAGATAGCTGCAGGAGTCTACATTCTTTCAACTCTTCAATGCCTCAAGTATAGGGCAGAAGTATCCAGGGGTCCAAAGAAGCAAGTCAGAAAACCCAAGAACCTGAAAAGATTTTATTTTATTTTATTTATTTATTTATTTTTTTGCAGATTCTATGCAGCAGAGATTTCCATTGGATTGTTCTTTCTTCATAAAAGGGGAATCATTTATAGGTGTGTATTGAAGCTCTTCCACCAGCAACGCAGTTGAGAGCTTTGCTGGACTGCTGTGGACATGTAATTCTGTGATGATGACTTAAGACACAGAATTGATGACCCCCGAGATAGACCTGCTGGGACCCCCGTTCTTGTTCCACCTCCAGGCAAAGCAGAGCCACCTTCTGATTTCCAGACCTCAAAGATTTTATATCTCATTCCTGCTTTGCACAGGAAAACATGTTGTCCTTTCCACTGAAGGCTCTTTCCTCCACCTTTTATTTAGAACTGAGGTCAGGGAGCAGTGGAAACTGAATTTCTGTTATAGATGCTCAGCAGGAGAAGATGGGGAACTGGGAGCAAGGGGAAAACTACTGAAGTAAATTTTTCCAGTTGCTGGCTGTAGTGAAAGTCTGGTGCCAGTATTAAGTGAAGAGTAATTACAAGGATATGGGGCACTATGCAGAATGGAAGGGACTCATGCAGGATCCGGATTTTGGAAACCTAGTTGTGTGTCAGAACTCCCGTACAGCCTGTCAATAAATCAAATGACAGGGGTCTCCCCAACCTGCAAAATTGGAATCTCTGCTGATTTTCATGCACAGACACATTCAGCGATTGATTCATTCATTGGTTCAGCATGCATTTATTATGTATCGTGTCCCAGACACTGTATTAGGCTTTGGAGAGGTAAAAGCACAGTAGTTCTTGGTCCCTGCCCTCAGGGGAATTAGGGTCATTATGCCATTGATATGACAGCCCATCAAATATCCTTCTATTTCTTCAGCTCCAAGCAGACTGTGTGATGTCACGCGGGGCACTGATGTTGTTGACCTGCTTCCTTGCAGAGATCTAAAATTAGATAATGTCATGCTGGATTCAGAAGGACATATCAAGATTGCAGACTTTGGGATGTGTAAGGAGCACATGATGGATGGCGTCACAACCAGGACCTTCTGTGGGACTCCAGATTACATCGCCCCAGAGGTAAGGGGACTCCAGCTCTCCGAGCTTTCTAGACCATCATTTTCAAACTGTAAGCACAACCCACTCATAGGGTATAAAGTCACTAGTAAATCACTAAATCATTGGGTGGGTCATGGCCAGCATTCTTAATTTTTTAGTAAAGAAAATCTGAAAGCTCATTGCACATAGTAAGAATAAGAATTGCTTCAAGGAACTTTCTGTTTTCGTTATATGGGTATGTGAGCTGGTTGCATTGTAAATGTATTTCTTACATGATCATGGTCAAAACCACTTAAGAAACACTACTGAGGGGATGAGAAGAAGGTGTGAGTTGCTTGTAAAATGTTCTCCGTGGGAACGCTGGGCTAGAAGGTGGTTCCAATGCTGGCTTTTTTAGCAAAATCAGAGTGATTTGTGCTCTAAATGTTAGAATTGATCATGCTGTCTAATCTAGGAAGAACATATTGATGTCGGTAGAAGCAAGGTGTTTCCAAAATTTATATCTTTAATATTGTCCACACAGCTTTGTCTTTGTTATATCACATACTGGATCATTTTCTTTCTTCTTTATGAAGCTTCTTACATGCCATGAGAGAATGGGCTATAACCCTGGGTCATTGTGTAATTAACTTTCTGTCAGCACATAGCCCTGTGGATGCAATGGTCTTTTCCTAACTGAGCTCCAGCTTGGTGGAATTCAAAGTTGGGCCAGCCTTCAGCTCTTCATAGAGCCCTCATATCAGCTGTTGGTGGCTTCCATGGAATTTATTCAGTGCATTGCCCCATGCGTTTATCTAGGAGGCAGAAGGTGTAGTGAAAAAGACACGAGCTTAGAAGTCAGACCAGTGTGAGCATCAGTCCTGCCTCTATGGTTTGCAGGCTGTGGGGACTCAGGCAAATTACTTACCCTTTCTGAGGTCTGTTTCCTCAGTGACAAGTTAAGGATAATAATATCCTCCTTGTAGAATTGTTCTGCGGATTAAAGTGCCTAATGCAGCATTTCACACCTAGTAGACCCTCAGTAGGCCCTGGGTAGTGGAGAACGTTAACACATTCAGCTGCTAACCAAAAGGTTGGCAGTTCGAGTCCACCCAGAGGCACCTTGGAAGGAAGGCCTGTTGGTCTGCTTTTGAAAAATAAGCCACCGAAAACCCTATGGAGCACAGTTCTATTCTGACACACATGGGGTTGCCATGAGTCAGAATCGACTCAACAGCAACTGGTTTGGTTTTCTTTTCTTTTTTTTTTGGGTGGGGGGAGACCCTCAGTAGTAGCCATTAATCTAAAACAGAAGCTAGCTTTCATTCCTTTGTTCAGGACTTTTTGTTTGTTATATTCCTAGACAACATGGAAACATATACTTCACTTAGGCAGTTAAATTCTGAATCACATGGCCAAAGGTGACATTTTATCTTGCAACAGATTGGGATTTGTACCCCGAAAAGAACTCACACGTTAGTAGCTGCAGGCATAGCGAGAGTTTAAATAGTCATATTTTTCAAACATGGAGAGTGGGGAGATGGCACAGTACGAAGTACAGCCTCCTGATGCAGTATTTATTCTAAAGCCATTTACCAGCTGACAGGTATTAAGCAGGCTGTGATTATGAGCTGTGCCAGCTCCATTTAACACCCACCAGACACTGCAAGAGCTTGGAGACAGCAAATGGCAGCATTTTTAGGAGTCAAAGTGGCTTTAAAGTTCATCTCCATTAAGACCAGGTCTCTGCCGATCAAACAAATAGCTGTGTGTGTTCAGTACCATTTCAGCCATCCAATATCCAAGGCCAGTGGTGTCCCACAGGGATGAAATTTTCCAGATAATTGAAGTTTGTTCCTTTGAATATCTTGACCTTTTTCCCCCAGTGTTATTCATTGTGTTCGTTTCGTATTGCTGCTATAATAAACAACCACAAATAACTTAGTGGCAGAAAACAAGGCAAATTGATTATCTTACAGTTCTGGAGGTCAGAAGTCCAAAATCAGCCTCGCTGGGTTAGTGTCACATTGTTGGCAGGGCTGGCTCCTGCCAGAGGCTCTAGGGAGGAATCCATTTTGTTGCCTTTTCCAGCTGCTAGAGGCTGCCTACCTTCCTTGGCTCATGGCCCCACCCTCCATCCGTGCCAACAGCATAGCATCTTCCATTCTTTTTGTCTCTCTCTCTCTGCCTTTTCTGACTCTGACCCTCTGGCTTCCCTCTTATGGGGACCCTTGTGATTACATCAGGCCCACCCAGATAACCCAGGATAATCTCCCCATCTCAAGACCCTTTGCTTAATCATATCTATAAAGTCCCTTTTACCATCTAAGCTAACCCATTCACAGGTTTCAGGGACTGGGACGTAGACATGTTGTTTTGGTGCGGAGCATCGTTCAGCCTACTAAATGCATTTTGATGACCTCTTTTCTGATTCTCTTTGATAATGTTCCCACCTCCTACACTGAGTGCACCTAATACTTTGAGCATATCGAGGTAATTGTGAGCCTCTTAATACACAGAGGATAACGTGCTCTGGTAGGAAATGCTCTCAGTTGCCCTCAGCCTTCGTTGCTCTCCTTATATCCGCTGTACGGTGATAATAAAGAGGAGCCACCATTTATGCAGTGTCTGCTGCGTGCCAGGCACCACAAATGCTTTCTCCCATTTAGTCCTCGTTGTTGTTGTTGTTAGTTGCCATCAGGTCGTCTCTGACTCACGGCAACCTTACGTGTAACAGAATGAAACGTTGCTCGCTCCTGCGCCATCTTCATGATCACTGGTATGTTCCAGTCCACTGCTGCGGCCGTTGAATCAGCCCCATCTCACTGAGGGTTTCCCTCACCTTCGCTAGCTCTCCACTTCACCAAACATGATGTCCTTCTCCAGCAGTCAGTCCCTCCTGATGATGCGTCCAGAGGAAGTGAGTCAAAGCCTTAGACAATATTCTGTGATCAGTACAGTTTTCATTGACTAATGGTAGGAAGAAGATTTCCAGGCCTTTCTTCCTAGTCTGTCTTAGTCTGGAGGCTTTGTTGAAACCTGTCCAACATGGGTGACCCTGCTAGCATTTGAAATACCAGTGGCATCGCTCCCAGTATCACAGCAACATGCAAGCCACCACAGTACAGCAAACGGACAGACAGGTGGTGCTTAGTCCTCACAACAAACCCCGTAAGGGAGGTAACACCAGGTCCACGTTTTCAGTGAGGTAACTGAGTCGATAAGTAACATGTCTAAGCTCCTGTTACTAAGATAGGCCAGAATCAAGCTTCAAACACAGGCCACCTTTAGACTTTTGCACTGCCCACTACGCTAAACTGCTGCTGGAAAACAGCGATTTGCACATTCAGAGAGCATTCTGCCTGCTTACTGTGCCGAGCATGGTGCCTAGGGGTGCAGAAACAGATCAGCCGTGACCCCTGGCCTTGGAGGGCTTACATGGGGAAGAGGCGACACTCCAACAATGCAGCAAAAACCAAAGATTCCAGTTGAGTTGAAAAAAATAAGCCAAAGTGCTTTGGGAAGTCAACCAGTAAGTAATAACTTTAGAGTGTTTCACGTTTTCTTCATATTTTTCCTCATCAGCGTCCAAGAATTTGGCACCCTGGGTCACAGGAATAATGGTGGTGTAGAGAGAGACCACCTAGGTTCAAGGTTTCTGAATTTGCTCAAAGGTTAAAATAATCCTGTCCCCTGTGTAAATATTTCTGTCAGGCAGAGGCAAATTATCTTAGGTGGCATTTTCCTTAATAGGCAAAGCGGAGGCTTAAATATTTATGGCTGTTTGTTCAAAAACCTTGAAATCGATTAATACTGTAGCAGCTCCCCACCCGGATAGAACAAGCTGAGGCGGAAAATGTCAGTAACCGATGCGATTTTGGAGCTGAGATGGACACCCACATAAGGGCCCTAATCAGAAAATGATTCCTGAAACTGACATGAAGAGAGCTCTTCCCTGACATGAAGAAAGAAAAAATTCCTCAGGGTCATGTGAAAATCCTTGAGAACGGCCATCAAAAGCTTTGTTATGGACTGAATTGTGTTCCCCAAAATAGGTGTTGTAAATCCTAACCCGTATACCTGTGGAGGAGCCCTGGTGGCTCAGTGATTAAGAGCTTAGCTGCTAACCAAAAGGACAGCAGTTCAAATCTACCAGCTTCTCTTTGGAAACCCTATGGGGCAGTTCTGCTCTGTCCTATAGGGTTGCTACGAGTCAGAACTGACTCAACAGCAACGTTACACCTGTGGATGTAGTCTCACCTGGGAACAGGTTTTCCTTGCTATGTCAATGAGGTCATATCAGGGTAGGGTGTGTCTTAAGCCAGTCATATTTGTGATATAAAAGGAGCAGCTTAGGCACAGAAGCAAGCCAGCACAAATGGGGAAAATTGATGCCACCTGGAGATCACCAAGGACTCTAGGAAAAGCAGCTGAAAGAGACAAGGTTTTCCCCCAGAGCGGAAAAAGAGAGCCTTCCCCTACAGCTGGTGCCCTGAATCCCAACTTCTAGCCTCCTAAACTGTGAGAAAATAAATTTCTATTCTCTAAAGGCACCCACTTGTGGTGCATCTGTTACAGCAGCTGTAGGAAATTAAGACAAGCTTCTTGATCAGTCCCGTCTCAGAGTTAGTTATCATGGGCGTGCAAGTTCCAGTCATGACTTGAGCGTCTCCCAGTGACCAAGATTCTCCCTGGGAGGAAGAGAAAGCAGCAGCAGGACAAGCTCTGGCTAGTGGTCTTACCCGTGTGCCTCCAGCTGGAGCGAGCATGAAGCTCCATTAAAATGTGCCGTACTCAGTCCTGCCTCCCAGCCTGCCAAGCTGTGGCCAGGAGTATGTTAGACACACGCAAAGGGTACTACCCATGGTGTGCTCACTGTCTACTCTGTACCCAGCCCCCGGATTTGTTGCATTTTATAGATGAGCAGAGGCTCAGTGACTTGCCCAAGGCACACAGCTGGTAACAGGGAGAGCTCGGACCCGGGACATTCTGACCCCAAAGCCCATAGGTTGTTGTGCAACATGACCACTATCCATGTTCAA